CATAAAACAATGGAGCTGGTCCTGATAAGTGCAGATATTGGGTTCTCTACTGTTCCTCAATCTTCTGATAAAAATGACAATGTAGCTGGCGACTTGAGCAATAATATATTAAGTATTGATTTGTTAAGCACTGAAAGCTACCTGCTATGTGAAAAGGGCAGGCATAACAAAAAAAGTGAAACTTTAGTTCATAGGAGCGGATATGTCTGCTTGTGGAAATTGTGTGGACATCTTAATACTGTATAAGAAGTTTTTCAGATTGTGACATCACATGACAAAGTACTTGACTTGCACTTAAACGTGTTTTCACTTTCTAATCGCCTCAAATAAACTGCATTTTTTTATAGATACTGTTGTCTCATATTTCACCTTGAACATCTCTTTCTATTACCTGTGAGCTAAGTGAATTGAAAAAGAGTATCATCTCTCTTTTTATTCTTCAAGATAAACAGCACGTATAGATCATGGGAGTTGAACCAGGTCACTTGATCAATCTGCGGAAACGAAAATGCATGCGCTCTCTGAAGTTGACATTGCCAACAACAATTAATACATCAGCTGTTCCCATTTGGAGCAGTATAAAAGCTTCAGTACACACTGCAGCAGCAATTAGGTTATTTTTTCTTAGTGTCTGTACCTTAATATGCACTTGCCAGATAGCACAGTTGAGTAAGAGCTCAGCTTTTGGAGGATGCTTCTCTCAAAAAGAATGAAGGTCTAAGATAAATAATATTATTTAATTCTGTCGCCTCTAATCAGAGGCTATACCACACGGAAACGTTAATAGAGCTACTGGAGTTCATGTCTGAGAGAAAATAAAGCAATATATTTTCCACCAGTGATTGGTTTTCAGTTCATATGCAAAACTACTGTATTGCTAGTGAGGTTTGTACCATCAACCAATGTTCCACACAAAGCTAAACACAATGTCTGATGCCGAGTAGATGAACATACATCAACCAATGTGCATTTATATAGCACCCTTCACACCGGACAGAGTCTCAGATCGCTTATTCCACAAACATGCAAACTGAAGGCTTTCAGCATTGGTCTTTGTGGGATGCATTACACACATAAAAATGAAAATTATTCTCTGGGGAGAGGATGGATGGGAGAGGATGGATATGGAGTTTTCCTGGCTTGAACTTGCTGAAGAAAGTTGTCTGTTGAGAGTTGAACAGTCTGACTCATCAATTGAAAATTTAGACATATCCCCAAAAAACAAAACTCAAATGGGTATAGCAATCATAGCTGAACAATTACTGCTAAAATGTTTCAATGCTTTCCGCAAACAAGATGCACAGTTGCCAATTATTCTAGAGCAATGTTTTATCTCAGATCTACATGAAGATTGGAAGAACAAAATCTGGGAATTTCCTGAGTCAAGTGGAAATGAGTACAATTGTTGGCAGGAAACTGCAGTTTTTCCAACACATCCTAATCAGATTTCCAAATAAGTTGAGTGATTGACAACCAGTATTACAGTATTTCACTAATTCCTCTAACTGAAATTATAGCAACTAGAAATGCAGTCTTCCATGACAGGAATTTGAGCTCACAATTACCTAAATGTTGAAGCAGGGGGTACATCAATTTATAAAGAACTAAATTTAGTTCCCAAACTAGCAATAATCAGTGAACTCTAAAAAGCCGATTGACGAGCTATGATAGATGTCCAGTGGGCAAGTCCAAAGATGAGCTGTTAAAAATGATAAGCATTTTATCAATATATTGGTAGACGATAGGTCAAAGGTGAGTTTTTTCCATTTAGCCTCACCACCAGCCCATGATCACCTCATAGGTGAGAACTCACACTTGGATGATCTACACGTTATTCTCTGTACAAGATGTAGTTTACACAACGAGCGAGCATTTCATTGACGAGGTATCAGTCAGATTAGCACTTTCAACCCAACTGTCAGGCAGCAAATAAACGAGGCAAATGGGATATTAAACTACACTGCCAATTAATTGAGTTCACATCCCCAGAAGCCATGCTGGTCAGGCAACACTTTTAATTGTACGAGGTAGCAGAACAAAGGAGCACGGGTTCAGGGTTGTTATTGGCAGTTTTAGAACAGACATCATGAGCCATTTTATACACAGCAATTGCTGGAATGGGCTACTGGGAAATTAAGACTCAATTAAGACACAGCTTGATGTTTTAAAAGGAAGACAGTATTGGAAATCAAATGTGTTGAAGATCCTTCTTCACGATCAAACTGTTCTTTGTGATCTTGATAACCGTGACCCTGAATGTGCCATACCCACTAAACCCATGGAAACATATTGAAGATATTGAAATGTGCTGAAAATCATGAGAAGATAATGTCCTCTTACGCCTCCAGGGTTTTGCCTCCACCCTATCTGTCACCTCCTCAATACGTACAAACCCATTTGCAACCTCTGTTCAGTGGGCATCGGCCTGCTTCATGTCCCCACCCCACCCTCAGAAGTCAGACTTTCAGCATAAATGCCCCACTTTCTGGCTGGAACTCTATTCTTGCACCTTTCCACTCCTCCTTCAAGGTCCGCCTCAACACCTTCCTCTTTGACTGCACTTTAGGCAACCTTCCAAAACCCTCACCTCCCGTCCCCAGCTCAAGCACAAACCTTAACACTGTCCAGTACTTTGGGACATCCTTCCAACGTGCAAAGCGTTATATAAATGCACGTTTGTATGTACGTGTCACATGGTTTCTCTAGGTATCCATTTTAACTGCAGCAATGTATAGGGAGGAAGGTGGTTTGCAAAAAAAGCCTAAATTTGATTCTGTTAAAAATAATTTCAGTACTACTGTATTTGCAACAGACACTACATCCGCATAAATCAAGAAAGACCAAACTTACTGAATTAGTTTAAGTTTACTTGAATACTGCCAATATAACATATCCATTTTTCAGTCAGGCAACTCTGCTGTAATTTGTCCACATTGAAAAATAAATTCTTGTAATGCAAGAAATCTTAACATGCTGCTGACCCAGAAAACCATACAGAAGCCACATACAAATGGATTGGAGATATTTCACCATTCTGAAATTTGAAAGCGTAGGACTGCAGAGAAAATCAAACTGAAATGATACGTCGCACTTATGTTAAAACACACTACTGGCTAAGGAATCAATATACGACATCAAAATAAAATTACAGAGGGTGTGTGGACATTTGGGGGAGGAAAAGTGAAGTTTTTGGAAAGATCCTCTCCAGTCTCTCAATACAACAGATTCTAAACTTGCACTGAAAAACTTGTACAAACAAAAAGACTTCCCTCCTTGCTCCTGTCATTCATAGTCCCAGGAGAGTGAAACCTCACATCCTGCTCCTCCATGTGTGACTCCTTCTTGCTCACCATCAACAACAATTTGCATTTATATAGCGCCCTTCACGCGGGGTAGCATCCCGGAGCGTGAGCTTCTTCGGTTCACAATCACTCTCATGGCCCTCTTCTGTTCACAATTACTTGTGTGACCACCTCCTGCTCACTATCATTCGTGTAACTACCTCCTGCTCACTATCACTTGTGTAACCAACCCCTGCTCACTTTCAGTCATGTAACCACCCCCTGCTCACTATCACTGTGTAACCACCCCCTGCCCACCATCACTGTGTAACCACCCCCTGCCCACCATCACTTGTGTAACCACCCCCTGCCCACCATCACTGTGTAACCACCCCTGCCCACCATCACTTGTGTAACAACCCCCTGCCCACCATCACTTGTGTAACCACTCCCTGCCCACCATCACTTGTGTAACCACTCCCTACTCACCTTCACTTGCATAACCACCCCCTGCTCACTATCACTGTGTAACCACCCCCTGCCCACCATCACTGTGTAACCACCCCCTGCCCACCATCACTGTGTAACCACCCACTGCTCACCATCACTTGTGTAACCCTCCCCTGCCCACCATCACTTGTGCAACCACCCACTGCTCACCATCACTTGTGCAACCACCTCCCCCTGCTCACCATCACTTGTGTAACCTCCCCCTGCTCACTATCACTGTGTAACCATCCCCTGCCCACCATCACTGTGTAACCACCCCCTGCCCACCATCACTGTGTAACCACCCCCTGCCCACCATCACTGTGTAACCACCCCCTGCCCACCATCACTGTGTAACCACCCTCTGCCCACCATCACTTGTGTAACCACCCCCTGCTCACTATCACTTGTGTAACCCTCCCCTGCCCACCATCACTGTGTAACCACCCTCTGCCCACCATCACTTGTGTAACCACCCCCTGCTCACTATCACTTGTGTAACCCTCCCCTGCCCACCATCACTTGTGTAACCACCCACTGCTCACCATCACTTGTGCAACCACCTCCCCCTGCCCACCATCACTTGTGTAACCTCCCCCTGCTCACCATCACTTGTGTAACCTCCCCCTGCTCACCATCACTTGTGTAACCTCCCCCTGCTCACCATCACTTGTGTAACCTCCCCCTGCTCACCATCACTTGTGTAACCACCCTCTGCCCACCATCACTTGTGTAACCACCCTCTGCCCACCATCACTTGTGTAACCACCCTCTGCCCACCATCAATTGTGTAACCACTCACTACTCACCATCACTTGTGTAACCCTCCCATGCCCACCATCACTTGTGTAACCACCCCCTGCCCACCATCACTTGTGTAACCACCCCTGCCCACCATCACTTGTGTAACCCTCCCCTGCTCACCATCACTTGTGTAACCCTCCCCTGCTCACCATCACTTGTGTAACCCTCCCCTGCTCACCATCACTTGTGTAACCTCCCCCTGCTCACCATCACTTGTGTAACCACCCTCTGCCCACCATCACTTGTGTAACCACCCTCTGCCCACCATCACTTGTGTAACCCTCCCCTGCTCACCATCACTTGTGTAACCACCCCCTGCTCACCATCACTTGTATAACCACCCCGTGTTCACCATCACTCGTGTAACCGCACACACACACACACACACTGCACACACACTGCACACACCAGCTGCTCCTCTCGTACCTTCAGCGATCAGCTCCTCCACAGTCACCTGGTAGCGGCCCACACTGAACACTCTGCCCACATAGTTGCTGACGCTTCCCATCGAGCCGCCGCCGCCTCCTCCGCCGCCGCCGCCCCCGGCACCGATATAACCCGCGCCCTCGGGCTTCGAGATCCGCGAGAATTTCTTCATGGTTCAAACGAAAGTGAGTGAGAGAGAGAGACACAACACACACACACACACACACACACAGGGAGAGTTTCGGACTTTGGGCTGCGTGGTGACTGCCGCTCTCTGGGGAGTGTGGAGCCCTCTCTCTCCCTCGTTCCTCTCTCCTCTCCCCCTCCTGTGTGTGCAGTGTGGACGGAGTCCGTCTCTGGTCGCGCGGCTCCTGCGCTCCCAACCGCCCGCCGTTCCACAGCCAATTCAAACGCCCCTAAATTCCTCCCCCACCTTCCATTCCGTTAAACTTCGAACCAGCGCGAGCGGGAAGTTCGGGGCGGGGCCGAGGAGGGGGGTTGAGGGGTGGGGGGGGGGTGGTGGTATTGTGTGAGGGCGGGGCCGGGCCGGGGGTTTTGGTCGAGGCCGGATCGGGCCGCGCGGCCGTCTCTTTCACGCTCGTTCCGTTCTCCTCCGAAGCCAGACACAACCTACCTTGTTTGAACTCCACCTCCTCCCTCCTCATTGGCCGCTGGGCTCCACGTCCCGCCTCCGCCCTCGGGCGCCGCGCCTTGCGATTGGCTGGCCGCGCCATCCGTCGGCGAGGGCGTACCGCGGCTCTTCCGCCGTCAAGTTCGGTTGAGAAGCGGAAGAGCGGTGACAAGAGGCACGAGGAGGGGGTCTGAGTGATGGTCACAGCGACGGCTCAACTGCTAATCCCCGCGCTTTAATATCACTGTATTCCTCACGTCTGGAGTACAGCGCCTGTCATTGTCAGGACGAGGTCCCAAAGCGCTTCATCCTGTAAATTGGCTGTAAAGACCTGGAAGGGCAGACCAGTCACTGGGGGGGGAGACAGGGAGCCCTCCCTCTCAGCTCCTGGTAACCCTGATGGCTGAGGGTGGTCCTCGCTGGACCAGCAGCGGGAAAGCTTGGCACGCGCAGCGAGATCAATGGCAGGCTCCGCGGCGTTCGCTGGTCAAGACTCCCGGCAGTTTCCCCAAACGCGCGGCCCCGGGGTCCCCGAGCCGTGGCTCCTGCCGGCCTGAGCCCCAAGGCCAGCAGGATGCGCCCCTCCAGGGAGAGAGGGTTCATCGCGTCCCGGCAGTCCGTCTCCGGGATTTCCACGTGTAGGTGGGATGCACGTGCGAATTTCAGTTTGGTTTGGATACTCTCGAGCCTGGCCACGGGCTTTTGCGGGCGTCAGACACCCGTGGGACGCTGCCGTGCGCAAGTCGGCTGCCGCGCTCACCCACGAAACAAAAGTGTTTTGTGGATGAACGCGGCGCGGGCACTGTTCCACGAACAGCCTTTAACGCATCGCCGGAACGTCGTCCAAAGCGCTTCGCGGGATTTTTTTTTTTTTTTAAAAAACTGTTAAAAGAGTGGAGCGACGGTGTACTTTGTGGGTCAACGCGGCAGCCAACAACACGTTCCCGGATCATTCCCACAGCCAACATTCCCAGAACAGCCACGGCCAATGTTATTTGGGGGGGAATTGTTGCCCAGAAAACCCCTTCTCTTTTCGAAGAGTGCTGCGGGATCTTTTAACCTCCACCCGAACCGGCAGAGGGGACCTCAGTTTGACGTCTCATCCAACAACGCAGCGCTCCCTCCGCCACCGCAGTGTCAGCCGAAATTGTGAGTTTGAATTCATGATGAAGGGCTTGAACCCATAACCTTCTGACTCACAGGCAAAGGTGCTGCCAACTGAACCAGGGTGACACCTAATGCCATTAAATGCCAAAGGGAGGACTTTGTTGAAACCAACTTTTTTAAAAAAAAAACACAATTAAATTTAAAAATGAAGCCAGCACACCTTGTGATAAATGCTGAATCTGCCTTAATTACTGTGAAAACTGATCACAGCCAGAACTGTTACGAAGCTTTTAAACAAAAGTTACCCAGAAACCAAAAACACTCTTTTTTTTTGAAAATGTACAAATTTTGAGGAAATAAATTGCATTGACCTGACTGAAAAAAATCCCTAAAGTGCAAATGCAGTGAAGACAAAGAGCCAAATTTTGTAGAAACTGTTTATTTGGTGAAGGGAATTTTTTTCACAGTTGCCACATTGTGTTAGCCATGAAACCCATTGAAGTGTGCTACAAAGTTACAGTTGGTTCAAAACTACAAAATCAGTAACCCTTTTCTGTTTATGACAGTAAAATCCCCTGAATACAGTCCCTATATGCCAGAAATTTCGAAGTACCAATCTTGGTTTTACTCATTTTTATTTCCTTCTTTCAAATTTAATTCTTTTTCCTCCCCTTAAATTACTTATCCATCAGGATTTGAAGGCAGATATGAATGGAAAATACAGTAATTTGCATTGCAAAATTTAACAACATTTAGTTTAGTTTTGCAGCTTTTGTAATTTTCATGTCAGTTTTAGTCTAGCTCAGTTTTTGGGTTTGTCTTTGAAGAAAACATCTGTAAAGATTAGCAAAATCCTGTCTCTTATAGTAAATTACAAGAAACATTACCAATTTAAAATATAATAAAATTGCTCATCTAAATTGTTAATCATTATTCTGTATATTTATACAGTAATGCCTATCCCAGGTTTCATTGTTGTTAGATCTAAAGGTATTAGATCAAAAGGCTGACTAATAATGGTTTACTGTGGAAATGTTGGGTTAGCTTCAAAACTCAGAATGTTTTTCCTAACTTGCCTTTGTGTGGGAAATGCCTTTACCTCTTTCTGCTGGGGAAAAGAGACACAGGCAAAGCTTAACAAAAACGATGTATCCCCATATTAAGGAGCTAAATTAGACTAGATCATTGTGTTCCATAGAAAAACACGTCTGTCCCACACAGACCATTTGTTTCAGGAATAGGGAAGCCTGTTGGTGTAAAATACTCTCTCACTGAGTACTTTACTACAAGTTGAGTCTCCCTTATATGTTTCATACCCTATAATGAACAAAATTTACCACTCACATGCACATGTATTAGTTTCTTATTATGTTAGGATACTGGAATGGCTGAAACAATCTGGCTGTCAGAATCCACATGCAGAGTTGTTATAACATTTCGCTCAGTTATAATACAGTAAAAAGGAGTTGCAACAGTGAGTTGGCAGCACAGCTTCATAATATACTAACTAGTTCTACTTGAGCACTGTGCACTTGCAATGCTCAACAATTAAATAAATCCTTGCAAATGCCTATAAAGTCCAAGAACATTTCAAAATGTTTCACAATTTCTGTAAAGTGTACTGACTGCATTTTGTATGCAAATTATGTTACTTTGACTTATCACACCTGGATAAGTGCTTATCACAGTGCTTCCTGTGAGTCGAAAACAAATATATTTGCACATTTTTTGCAGCATAACTGAAACTATTGTCTAGATACCAGCTACTTCTTTGTGGAGGTTTCACTCACATTAAAGATGCAAAGAAAATCCAACTGACTGTCTACTTAAGAACTTATTAAACATTGTTCTTGAATTTTAGAAAGTTCACTTTGCACCAGCTGCAGTTACACTACAATAGTGGCAGTGCCAGCTGAACTGTGTGAGATTATCCATTGGAAATGGTTTCCCACCACTTCCCTTAAGATTAATTGTTTTCCTTAAACTGCAGCTAAACTAAAGATTTATTGTGGCAACCGGGCATGGAAAAAACATTACATTTCATCTATAACTGGCCTCCACAGACAGAGACTCTCTCTCTCTCTCTCTCTCTCACACACACACACACAGAAAAACAAAAACTTTCATTTATATAGCACCCATCACATGTCTGCTTTGCAGCGATAGTGACTACCACTGATTGGGGGTGGGTGATAAGCGAGAAAAACAACCACAGACATGGTCAAAGAAGTGGGTTTTTAGGGGCTTTTAAAAGTAGATAGAGAGGCGGCAAGACTGTGGGAGATGGAGAGCGATCCAAAGGACGTGATCTGAAAGGGTCTGAAGATGAGGGCTAGGATGTGCAGTAGGCCTGAGTTTGCTGAGCAGAGGAGGCAAAAGGAAAAATGAACCTGGATACGATTACAAAGAGAGGCGCGATCTTAAACTTGATCTGCAGAGAGTCAGTAGATCCTAGCGAGGGCAGCGGGGATGGGAATGCAAAGTTTCATTCAAATAAGGGTACTTCCAAAAGCATTAGATTAGCTGGAGCTTGTGGATCATGTTGAATCTGGAGGTGCGAAGATGTGAATGGGAGTTTCATGAGTATTAGGGGTGAAGTAGGGATGGAGGCCAGCATTGTGTTGAAGATGCAGGAATGTGTTTCTGCTCAAGAACAACAAGTTGCATTTATACAGCAGGATGGCGTCTCGGAGCGCTTAACAACAGCAGAGTTTGATCCCGACCCATGGAGAGGGGGGAGGTGACTGCAGAAAGGAAAGGTGGAAGGATTGAGAGCAGAGTTCCATAGTTTTGGAGCATGGTGGCTGAAAGCACTGCCACCGATGGAGGAGCAGAGGGGATGAGGGATGTGCAGGAGTCCAGGGCCAGCTAAGCGAAGGAAGCGGATAGTGAAATGGGATGTAAGCAGGTCAGAGAAGAAGGGAGGCACCGGGACATGTAGTAATTTGTAAGTGAGTGTGAGGATCGTGAAATTGATCTATTCTACAACAGGCAGCCAGTGGAGCCCAGCAAGGACAGGGGTGATGGGGGTACGGAGTTTGGTGCGGGACCAGATGTGAGGGAGGAAGGCGAGATGAGGGTCGAACCGAACACAGTTGTACTCTGGGTCAGTGAGTTGGAGGCCTGGAAGGTTGAAGAAATGAGAGCCATTAGGCTTCAGAAAACGGAACTTTCATATTATAAAATAAAATAATCTTGATCTGTCATGGCCCCTTTTGTAGTTTTCCTAAATAACAAGTGAAACATGCCACTTGTTTTTTTCTTTATGCATGTTTTCTGTTTTGTTTTTTCCTGTTGTTCGTCAGTCATCATAACCAGGCTTGTCATAAACGCACACAAGTTTTACCACTGCTTTCTCCTCACTGGCAGATCCTGCAGCTGACTGCTGTTTCTCTTGCTTTATCACATCTGAAAAATGTTTCTGCTGCACAGTGCCTTCCTGTGAGTGAAAAAACAAATACGTTTGCAATACTTTGTTTCAGTGTGGCTGAAATTGATTGTGAATGGTTGTTATGGGACCAATTAATCTGTTTTGCTTTAAGCAGGTGTTTCTTGTCATGAATCTCATATTGTCAGGAGGAGAATTAGGAGAAATTTAATAAAAACATTTATGCTTGTTCAACATTGAATGTGTTTATGGAAAGTGTATAACAGAATATCTGACTACAAAATATCGGATGCAGATGTACCCTGGCCTTCTACCACACATTTTAAGAGGATGTTTGATTC